AAAAAAAAAAAAGTGTAGGGAAGGTAATTAGGGAGAAAAAAATAGAGAGGTAAGACATTTGTGAGACACAGAAATGGTTTATTACCTGTTAATGATGACGTGTATAGTGTTCTCAACTCGACTGATCTGAAATGTATTTCATGTTGAGTAAATTCTCTATACAAGCTAAATGATGTATAGCAATTGATGTACAAAAAATAGTAATATAATAATAAAAGTAGAAAGAAATAAAAATTTTTAAATAACATTAAAAAAAAAAACAACAGGAATTCCACCTTTTTCCTCTGTGTATTTCCAGGTGTGTCTAGCTTGTAGCATTAATGAGAAACCCAAACATATTTTTTAACTGTAGGTAAAAGTGACTTAATTCTCCTATTACTGGTAAGTACAACTTACTAAAACAAATCCCGTATCATGACAAATGACTAAGAGTTCAAACCTACAGGCTAGGAAGGGTTTAAACTGCATTTCTGGATCACTAGGGGAAAACCTTGGAAAGCTGTTCTACACGTGGAACATTATTCTGTTACCATATAACACAGGAAGTAATGAACACAAAAGGAAGATGTTTATTCTGATATATCTTTTTCATTCCTTAAGGAAAGTTTTTAGCCTATGGCTTTGCCTAGGGTGAAACGATGTCAAATGGTTTCAAGCAAACAGAAAATGCCAACCTTTCAGGTCGGTTACTAAATCCTTTACATAGTTAGACACAGCACTACATACATATGAGTTGGTTCACTGACCAGTTGGCTGCATTTTCAGCCATTAACAAAAGCATGAAAAATGACGCGAATAAAACGAAAAATTACATCACACGATAAATACTACTTAATATTAAAATTAATGGATACTAGTGGAAGCTTCCCTGTTGTTGAATCTCAAGATGGCAACCTGACAAGATAATCATGGGGTGTCTGAGACTCCCAGAAGATTCTCTGCGTATACCTTGCTTACCAAACTAGTGTACTGCTAAGTTAAAGTGGGGAGGGCAATAATTAAGAATATGCAATTAAGAGCTAGTTATGTTGTTTCTATTTTCTATTACCCTTTTTTAAGCAAGACATTTAAACAAGTGCATGAGAGAGCGAATTCATTTTTATACTTGCTCCACTGTGGGTCACTTGCTCACTGAGGCATGTCAGAAATATTTAAATTCAGGAGCAATCCTTGGTTGACAAGAGCCTGCACTGCTGCAGGCTACAATCCTCACACAGTGCCTGGAGGGTTATTACAATTGCGGTGTCTATAGAGGACAACAAAGGAACCTTACCCCTTCCCGAAGGCACCTCATTAGCACTGTGTATGCAGCCAAGGGAACAGCCCAGAATTCTCTAGGGTTCTTTTTTTTTTCTTCCTAAAATGAAGAGGAAGGAAAGGCAGTGAGGCCAATAGCACAAAAGATATTAACACTTTTTTTTTTTTAAAAAAAAAAAAGGACACAGTTCCAAATATACAAACTATCCAATACTTCTTAATATTCTATTTAAAGTGCTACTGACTACCTGACAGTTATGACCAGATCAAGTACATACAAGGAGTTCTTCTATTTCTCACTGTATTATATATGATGTAGACAAGATTCCCTTATCAAACACTGTATCAAATAGAATTGAGAAATGACAATACGATCTGATTGATAAAGAAGCCCTTCTATTGATAATTGTAGATGATAATATAGATATCCCTATCTAAAAAGTATAACATTATCTGGAATGATGTGAAAGCACAGAACACACACTTTTTCATAATATCCCAGAATAACCCATAAGCACAGGTAAAAGCCAGAATGTTACCTAGTAAGACAATGATGTGCTAAATAAAAATAAGCAAATATGATTAGCAGGTACATTGATTTTAATGACATCGGCAATAATTTTTTTTCACAGAAGATTAACCAAATTAGTGTAATAATCACAAAAACACTCATGCATCCTACCAAATAAAATCACAAAATACCACAAAAAATAAAATCACCTTTCTGTGCATAAAGGTGGAAAAAATTTCAACTTTTTATACTTCCTATGTTTTTAATTTGCCAGAGGGCAAATGCACTCACCAGGGAGAGACAGAGAGACAAGAAGAGCAGGAGAGGTAAAAAGCACCACCCCTACAATGGGGCGTGGTCATGCTGCACTCCCTTCTCCATTTCTCTCTGCTGTCGGGATTCTGAGCACACATATATACGTGCCCAGCTTGTTTTCAAGCCACTAGAGCTGGGATTTGAACTGTGTAGTCAGTAACATGGGATTCGACTCCTAACTTAACCCCTTAGGTCATGGAGCTGATCTAAAGCTCAATCTTTTTAAAGCAGACAAAATTAGGTTCTTCTTAGAGAAAACATTTAAGTTTGTCCAAATAAAAGAATTGGTACATTATCAGTCCAAAAGCATTTCGCACCCGTGATGAATATTATGACCCATTAAAATTGTTCTGCATATGGTCATACCCTAGACAACATGATGAGGAGCTACTCCAACTCAGAATCGCTAATTGAGAACTGAATTTAACTTCTAAACACAATTCTCTTCCCTTCTAGCTCCACTTACTGAAAATGTCCACTGCAAACCTTTAACATCACCGGACTCGGTCCTGCCTCTCCTTTCCCCCGTCTATTATCTATCCTCTCTTGCAGTGACTTCGATTTCCTAATCCATCACTTAATCTCTTCTGCCAAAAACCCGACCAACTACCCATCTGTTGGAACTCCCCATCTGTTGGTCGTCCCTTTACCCTTGTTTCAGGAAACCCCAACCTTGGAAGAAGCCAGCTGCTTGTTTTCTCTAGGCCTGCATTCAGGCAGCTGGGCTGTTAGAGAAGGCAAGACCGCAAAGCGTTTGTCACCAAGCCACGTGAAAATCAGTGACTTTATATTGCACATAGTCTCGGTGTCCGATTAACAGACTGAACCTGAGGAAAATCAGCCTTGAACTTCTGTCTTCCATTTCCCTCACAATGAGTCTGACAGAACTTGCCCTTTTGTACCCTCAGAATAGATGGAGCCCAATGTTTAACTAAGGCAAGGTAACAATAACCTGGCTGAATCTTTACAGGTCCTTGGCTATGGAAATAAGGTGGGAAAAGACTCCTCCAGCCCCAACCCACATGACTGGCTGAGAAGATTTTCATGGGCTCAGCATTACAAAGCCACACCCTGCTTTTAAACCAGGGTCTAGGCGCTGTCTTGACTGACTTCATTTGCTGCCCATTAGTCACTGCTTACCCTTCGCCCCTTACAGAGCATGGGATCCAGTTATTCTGCCCTGTCATAGGCACTCAGCTATCCTCATCATTTTGTCCCAAGACAATGAATAACTTGTCCTTTACTTTTCTTTTTTTTTCTGGGGGGGGGTGGGTGGGAGAGATTTTCACCGTAGGGCGCGTGCGCTCACCAGACAGACAGACAGAGACATAGAGACAGAAAGCGAGAAATCACCCCCCAGGGGGGATGGCCACGCCATAATCCCTTCTCCTCCATTCTCCTCTCGGGATCTTGGGCACACACGCACATGCACCCGGTGTGAGTTTTAAGCCACCGGGTCCAGGACGTGAACCGCGGTCGACTACGTGGGAGTCCAGCGACATAGCCATTACGCTAACTGCTGGTTCCCTCCTTTACTTTTTAATATACCTCACATTGACTCCCCCTACGTAAGTGTTGTATCTTGGCCAGTTCTGCAGAGACAGTTACAATTCTTACCTGCTCTCTCCTAGAGTTGGCCTGACTAACTACATTCCTTTCCTTATTCACCAAGTTTTGTCCTTCTGTGGCAAATGTCGTGGACCTGTTTTCTGGTCTTCAGAATGAACATATCTGCCTGCTGCGGCAACGCAGGGTCCATTACTGGTTTATGATCAGCAACCCCAGGGGACCGTAACCGTCACTCTCCAGGCCTACTGGTTCTCTGATCAACTATCTCTCTAAAAGGTCTATTTCCAACCTGTGCCCTTCACACCACTTCACCTATTTTCCTCCTTCACAGTGTCAGTCTAAACAGGAAGGCTGATACACAGGAAGTGAAGCAAAGAAAGTTTATCCCATCTGTTGGTCGTCCCTTTACCCTTGTTTCAGGAAACCCCAACCTTGGAAGAAGCCAGCTGCTTGTTTTCTCTAGGCCTGCATTCAGGCAGCTGGGCTGTTAGAGAAGGCAAGACCGCAAAGCGTTTGTCACCAAGCCACGTGAAAATCAGTGACTTTATATTGCACATAGTCTCGGTGTCCGATTAACAGACTGAACCTGAGGAAAATCAGCCTTGAACTTCTGTCTTCCATTTCCCTCACAATGAGTCTGACAGAACTTGCCCTTTTGTACCCTCAGAATAGATGGAGCCCAATGTTTAACTAAGGCAAGGTAACAATAACCTGGCTGAATCTTTACAGGTCCTTGGCTATGGAAATAAGGTGGGAAAAGACTCCTCCAGCCCCAACCCACATGACTGGCTGAGAAGATTTTCATGGGCTCAGCATTACAAAGCCACACCCTGCTTTTAAACCAGGGTCTAGGCGCTGTCTTGACTGACTTCATTTGCTGCCCATTAGTCACTGCTTACCCTTCGCCCCTTACAGAGCATGGGATCCAGTTATTCTGCCCTGTCATAGGCACTCAGCTATCCTCATCATTTTGTCCCAAGACAATGAATAACTTGTCCTTTACTTTTCTTTTTTTTTCTGGGGGGGGGTGGGTGGGAGAGATTTTCACCGTAGGGCGCGTGCGCTCACCAGACAGACAGACAGAGACATAGAGACAGAAAGCGAGAAATCACCCCCCAGGGGGGATGGCCACGCCATAATCCCTTCTCCTCCATTCTCCTCTCGGGATCTTGGGCACACACGCACATGCACCCGGTGTGAGTTTTAAGCCACCGGGTCCAGGACGTGAACCGCGGTCGACTACGTGGGAGTCCAGCGACATAGCCATTACGCTAACTGCTGGTTCCCTCCTTTACTTTTTAATATACCTCACATTGACTCCCCCTACGTAAGTGTTGTATCTTGGCCAGTTCTGCAGAGACAGTTACAATTCTTACCTGCTCTCTCCTAGAGTTGGCCTGACTAACTACATTCCTTTCCTTATTCACCAAGTTTTGTCCTTCTGTGGCAAATGTCGTGGACCTGTTTTCTGGTCTTCAGAATGAACATATCTGCCTGCTGCGGCAACGCAGGGTCCATTACTGGTTTATGATCAGCAACCCCAGGGGACCGTAACCGTCACTCTCCAGGCCTACTGGTTCTCTGATCAACTATCTCTCTAAAAGGTCTATTTCCAACCTGTGCCCTTCACACCACTTCACCTATTTTCCTCCTTCACAGTGTCAGTCTAAACAGGAAGGCTGAAACACAGGAAGTGAAGCAAAGAAAGTTTATCTGAGACAACGCCTTAGGATGATTCACCTAGGTGACAGATTCTAGGTATCTAGAATGCGCATTCGAAATGACTACTGAAAAGGCCAGTCCTATAACAGAGGAGGGTAAAGAGAGGGGAATTACACATTGTTAAGCATTTACATTTGGGACTGACTAGCAGGTAGCATGGCAGTTTAGGTGTTGGACTCCCACATGGCCGACTGCGGTTTGAGTCCCATACCTGGTGGCTTGCTTCTCTCTCTCTCTCTCTTTCTCTCGCTCTCTCTCTCTGTCTGTAGTGAATGCATGTGCCCTACAGCAATTTTTTTTAAATCCTAATAAAATTAGAAAAATAATTCTTTAAAAAAAAATTTTACATTGTGCTCAGCCTCTGTGGCACAGCCACACCAGACTGCGGAGCAGGAAGCACGTGCTATCCACAGTTCAAATCCCCAGCCCAGTTGCAGCTAGCCTGAAAACAGGAAGGGCATGTGTTTGCACTGGCTCCTGGGGGCTGGAGGGCTGGAGGAGGTAGGGCCTAGCGTGACTGTGTCTACTCCCTGTCTCCTCCTTCCCTCCCTTCCCCTCTTCTCCTTCCCTCCCTCCCCCTCTTCTCCTTCCCTCCCTCCCCTGCTTCACACAGTATATGCCCACTCTTATCAGAAACCAAAACATAAAAGAAGGAAGAATCTACCTTGGCCCATTTAAAATAACACAGACAACTGATTGGCTACGTTCTTCTTTACAGGAGGAATTTCAGGAACACTTCTATAAAGGACGGAGGTCACACTGTAAATCGCTAGCTATTTGCAGGCCAACAGTTAGCTTGCTAGGAAGCAAGCATGCCTTCTGGGCAATAACCCTGATAGGTGTGAGGAATACCCAAGGTCTCATGCTTATGCCTCTTTGGGCTAATTTAAGAAACTTCATGTCCCACAGATTGCTCTGAACTGCTTTTCTTTCTCAACATAAATAATAGAAGTTTAGGCAAAGAACAAATACACTCTCCAGCCTCATCCCCAATACGCAAGGAAAGGTGCCTTTCACAAAATCTGGCAAACAAATTTTATCATTTTACTTGCTATAGGGCGCATGCACCCACCAGAGAGAGACCAAAAGAGAGGGTATTTTCTATTCCAAGAAAAGGGAGTAAAGACAGAATGGAGAGATCAACAAGTACTCACTAAGAAAGGTATCCACGGGGCCAGCAGGTGGCAAGAAAGAAAGAAAGAAAAGAAAAGTATTCAAGCCAGCTGGTGGTATGGTGGTCAAGGCAGCTGGATCCCACCCAGCCAACTGTGTGGTTTGAGTCCCAGACCCAGTGGCTTGAAAAACACACAAGGTTCATATGTGTGCCTGCCCCAAATCCTGAGAGAATAGGTGGGGATGGGAGCAGGGGTGAGGTGTGGGTACATTCTCATTTTCCCCTATCTCTCCCTCTCTCACTTCCTCCAACCCCAGCACGCTCGTACAAAAATAGAAAAAAAAAAAAACAAAAACTTTTTTTTCCTATACCTTTCTCTACTTCCTAATTTTCGAGGTTTGTGAATTATTTTCTCTTCAAAATATAAAATTTCATGGGGCCAGAAAGTGGCATGGTAATTAAGGGGCTGGACTCTCACATGACTCCCACATAGCTGACTGTGGTTTGGGTCCTGGACCTGAAGGCTTGCTTTCCCACTTTCTCTCTCTCTTTTTGTCTCTCTCTGGTGGGTGCATGTGCCCTATAGCAAGTAAAACAATAATAATAATAATAAATGATATTTTATTTTATATATATACATATATATGTATGTGTGTATATATGTGTGTGTGTATAGGTATACACACACACATATATATATATATAAATCACCTAAGAATAACTTCAACCAAAGATGGATATACAAAAAAAAACCTTCTGAATAAAATGAAATAAATGCAATGAAAATTTTTTCTAAAATATAAATGTATGAAAACATTTTTTTATACTTTAGAAGACTTTCATAAAGATAACAATATGCAGATTCGGTACAATTGTTCTCAAGTTTATTTGCATAACCAAAGCAGCTGTTTTAAAAAATGATGTGCAGAATTGGGCAAGCTGACTCTAAAATTTATTCTGACAGGGCCAGCTCCAAGGACTACTGATTAAATGGCTGGATCTCACAGAGCTGACCATGGTTCAAATGCTGGCCCTGGTAGCTTAGAAAACATGCTGGGTGTCTTTGTGTATCTGAAGTCCTGACAGGACAGGGAAATGTAGAAGAGATTGCAGAGGGGCCACACCTCATTAGAGGTGTTTTCTCCCACTTCCCTCTCTCTCTGGCATGCACACATACACACCCTGATAATCAAGTGATTGATTGATTGATTGCTAAATAAATAAATAAATAAAATTTATTCTAATATGTGAAGGGCCAGGAATACCAAAGATATTTACAAAAGGGAAGAATAAGAAAGAAACATTGTACAAGTTCACAATACTAATTATGAAGAAAAAAAAAAAATTTTGGTAAGAGAGAGATTTTCACTATAGGGCACAAGCATTCACTGGAAAGACAGGGAGAGACAGAAAGTAAGAAATCTACCCCATGGGGAATGGCCATATGCAATCCCATCTCTTCCATTCTCCTCTCAGGAGTTTGGACACGCACGTACATGCTCCCAGCATGAATGTCAAGCCTCCGGGTCGGGGACTTGAACCACTGTCAAATAGGTGGGAGTCCAGCAACATAACCATTACACTATCTGCTGGTCCCAAAGGAAGATTATTTAAAATAATGATGTTTTATAACAATTATGGTTGTTGCCTTAAAGTGATGATTGTCCAGAAAATCAGTTACATTTCGATTTTAAGGTTATATTACAGTTAAGCAAATTCTAGAACCAAACTTTCAAAATTTCATGAGAGATCTTATTAATTGATAACTTACCAGTACTTATTTAAAACTCTCAGAATATATCATGAAATGACTAACCACAATTTATCAACATCTACTCAACGATATTCTAAAGAAATACATTGAAGGAATATTAACTTTTACCTTCTTAAATTCAATAGCACTTCCGTCATATAACTTTAGAAATAAAAATTGAAATTCTGCCATTACAAATTCCCATAGTCATGCTTAAAGCTATATTTGTACAGTGTAGTGTTTTATTTAAACTAAAATGGAACTTTTGTACTAGAAGAACCGATGGCCCTCTCTTGCCTGAAGGAGTCAGAGAAGGCAGCCATCTAGAGGACTCAGGAGATTTCCAGTTCACTGCTTTTAAAACATGGCCTGCAAATCTCCCACACTTTAAAGGAAAAGAGGTCCCAAGAGGGAGAGAAGAAGAGAGACAGACAGAGGGTGAGAGACACAGAGAGACACTGAGAAAGTCTCTTCCACAGAGGTAAAAGTGCTCCTAAGTTCCTTAGGCATGCTCTAAGGGACAGAGTCAAAAAACTTTTACAGGGAAGGAATACTTGTCTAGCAGGATATGTCAGAATATGTCAAACGACAATAGAACTAGTCAGACAGTCTCACCTGGGTGGCTACAAGATAGATCAGCTCCCCAAGGGTTGGTAAAAGACACTGTTTTAATTTGCTGTTCCTGAAGTTTTCCCTAATTAATTCAGTTAGGAGAACAATCGCCTGAAAAGAGGAAAAAAGCATATTATTTCTGGTGTATATCCCAGTTCTTGTATGTAAAAAGCAAGAAGCTCTGCAAAATTCACATTCCGTTTTTAAGAACTAGTTCCCAAGATACTTTCAAAATATGGACCTTATAACTCTTCCAGATAGAAGTAAAAATAAATCTAGTGGGGCCGGCTGGTACCACAGTCGTAACACAATGCTTTACGATGCTGGACACACACGGGAAGGTCCCAGGTTCACGTCCTAAGGTCTTCCCACACACGCAGCGCCCCCACGGATGTCTGTGATCCCAGGTAGCTGAGGCTGGGGACGATCATAGCTTGAAGACTCCTTTGAGAGTTGGCCCCCTCCACTTTGGAAGGAAGATACAAATAAACTTTAAACACACACATATATTTAAACTTCTGTACAGGGTCCTGTGGTGAAGGCAGCTGGATCCCACATGGCTGACTACTGGTTCGAGTTCCAGCCCTCCCAGCTTAAAAAACACTCCAGGCACATGTACATGTGTGCCCAAAATCCTAGAGGTGAAGGGACTGCAGCACAGCCATGCCCAGACTGGAGGGCGCTTTCTCTCTCTCCCTCGCTATCTCCTGGGCAATGCATGGATGCTCTGGCAAATTGTAAATAAACAATAAAATTAACTCATATACATAGAGCACTTTTCAGTTTGCAAAGCATTTTTACCGTATCATCAATCCTATGAGGTGATCGCTAACTTTCTCTAAGAAATGAACAGAGACTAAGAGAGATTCCACCACTTGCTCCAAGGTCCCCAGTTCAACTGAACACCCAGATCTGAGCACAGATTTTACTATAGAGATCTCTGCCTGCTCTAGCATACTGGAGTTCAAGAAGTTCTTACATTATAGAAAACTTTTGCAATGCTTTAAAAAAAAATCATAGGATAAGACAAAGTTTCAGTATAATTCACTTGGAAACTCAGCAGCCTATTTTCTCAGAGTTAGTTACTTTCCTAGGTAGCATGCTAAGAAAATCACATACACTCCTTGCCAGAATTCATACACCAGTACGAGGTTGATCAAATCGAAGTACAACCAGGAAGTGGGATAGAAAGGTTTCAGAATAATCTATATAGGATGGCTTCATTCTGAAAAGGAAAAAAATAATGTATATAAAATAGTATAAAAGCATTACTCTAAAACTGCGCAACTCAAAGAGTGGTGCACAGCAACACCATCTCTTAGCAAGGCTTCAGTTTAAAACTGAAAGTAAGGTCGAACCCTTCAGAGCAAGTGGATACGACCACAACGCCCCAGCGTGCGCTCACATGTCTCTTTCCGTAAAGCAAAAGTACGAACAAGCTGGAAATGCACGTGGGGTATCTTCAGAGCAGTCATGCTCCATAGGAACACTTGTAGATGTGGTAATTCTTTTTAAGAATTATTTTGGGACCAGCAGATGGCATAATGGCTATGTCGTCGGACTCCCATGTAGTCCACCGCAGTTCGAGACCCGGACCCGATGGCTTAAACTCACACCGGGCACATGTGCATGTGTGCCTAAGATCCCGAGAGGAGAATGAAGAAGGGATTGCAGCGTGGCCATCCCCTCTGGGGAGTGATTTCTGGCTTTCTGTCTCTCTGTCTCGCTTCCAAGTGCACATGCCCTATAGCAAAAACATCTCCAAAAAAAAGAATTATTTTAACTTTATTTAATTAGTTTGTTTATTTATTTTAATTTGATGAGAGAGGTATGGAGTTGGGGGGGGGGTGGAGTGAGAAAGGAAGCCGCTAGGTCCAGGACTCAAACTGCAGTCAGCCACATGGGAGTCCAGTGCCTTTAACAACCATGCTATTTGCCAGCTCCAGATGTGGTATTTTTTTAAAACACCTTTTTTTTTTTTTTAAGTTTACTTACTTATTTTAAGAGAAAGATAGAACACCCTCAACAGGGCCTTAGCTGCAATACCCACCCCAACATTTCTCAATCGGCCAAAATTAAAAGCATGCATACATACATACACACACACACACACACACACACACACACACACACACACACCATATATAGGCCAATCTGGGAACCATGCCGTGGTCTTCCATATGACGTCCACCACTACAGAATATTGTGCTATCACTGTTCCACCATGGTGGGGCACAAAAAGCTTTAATGAATTATAATAATGGACATATGGTAAACTGCACATATTCAAAGTGTACAATTAAATACATATGATATACATACTTGACTGCAAAATCATCACCACAATAAAAACAGCAAATGCCCTCCATGTTTCCCCTTTTTGTAATCCCTCTGTCTCATTCCCTTTCTTTCCACTGTGCATAGCCACCAGTTCACTTTTGAATTTTCAAGAATTTATAAGAGTGGATCATATGCTGTGGATCCTTTCATTATCTGGCTTCTTACACTCGGCATAATGTATCTGACAGTTATTTATGTTGTTGCCATGTTCAATAGTTTGTTCATTTTCACTGCTGAGTAGTATTCCACTGTATGGATATACCACAGTGTGTAACTCTAATGACTTACCATTTTACCCACAGTGAATCCTCTACATGAAGTAGTTCAGAGTAAAAAGGAATTATGTAGAATTACATTGAAGTAGGTAACTTCACATTGTCTACCTTTTCCATTGACCTTTATTGATCATCCACTAGCACTAAACTGAATCATCTAAAAATTGTGAGTGTTTAACCATGTTTTTAACCTACAAAAACTGCAAATTGTTATTAGCACACTACCCTAAAAGAATACCTCTTCTTTTTTTATATACTGATGCTGTAAGAGGTTTATCAAAAGGCCCTGTAAGAGCCTCTAAACATAGGAACAATTGCATAGACTCCAGACATTTTCAAATTTAAAGCATATTCACAGTGAACTTTAAGTAAACCAACTTACAACACAATAGATGCCCATTGGATTGATACCTGACTTTTTCACTATTATCTCTCACTTACACATACTAGTTATACTTATTTATATGGTACAGGATGGTTTTTCCAAATGTATGCATTGTACAATGATCAAATCAAGACAACAAACATACCCATTATCTCCAATTTTTTTCTTTAGCTTTTGTTATAGGGTACTTGTACTTGCTAGAGACAGAGAGAGACAGAAATAGAGGGAAAGTAAGAAATCACTCCCTAGGAGTGATGGTCACGTCGCAATCCCTTTTCCTCTATTATCCTCTCAGGATTTGGGACATGTGCACACAAGTACCCAGTGTGTTTTTCAAGCCACCAGGTCCAAGACTCCAACTGCTTAGTCGACCAAGTAAGATACAACCACTTTAACCAACACACCGTCAGCTGGCCCTCCATCTTCAATATTTATCATTATTTTCTATTGTGTACATTTGAAATCCACTCTATTGTTTTTTCATTGCCAAAGGGTGTATGCACTTGCCAGAGAGACAGCAAAAGAAAGAAAGCACCCTTCAATTGGGGCTTTATCATAACACAATCCCTTCTCCTCCATTTCAGGATTTGAATCATGATCCACCATGCCAGATCTGGATTCCTTAACCACTAGGTCCCAGGGTCAGTGTTTCCTGTTTTGAAGGATACCTTGAATTGTCTGCAATTACAGTCATTCTACTGTGCTATAGTAACTTAGAGCTCATTCCATCTGCCTGCCTGATTATACATAAGTACATCTGCTAACTGATTGATCCCCATCTCTTTCAGACCCTGTCCAACTTTTGATATTCACTATTACACTCACTCTTCCTATACAACTGAATCTTTCAGCTTCTGCTAATGAGTGAGAACATATGGTATTTGTCTTGGTTTATTTGACTCATCATTTTTTCCTCCAAGTTTATCCATGTTGACTCAAATGAGTCCATTTAATCCTTTCTTAAGCTAAATAACATTCTATTTTGTGTGTATGTGTGTGTGTGTGTATGACATTTTCTTTACTCATTAGTTCATAGACGCTTCGGTTGGTTCCATATATTGTGAATAGTGATATAATAAAAATTAGAGTGCAGAAATCTCATCATCATGTTAATTCTCTCCCCTAGGGGTACCTAGTGGTACAATTACTGGATCCCAAGGTAGTTATGCTTTTAGTTATTGAGGAACCTCCATTAAAGCATTCTGAAGAAAAAGGAAATGATGCAGGAAGAAAATCTGGAATATAAGAGATCAAAAGAACATAATAGGGACCAGCAGTTACCGTAATGGCTATGTTGCTGGACTCCCACGTAGTCAACCACGGTTCGAGTCCTGGACCCGGTGGCTTAAAACTCACGCCGGGCGCGTGTGTGTGTGTGTGTGCCCAAGATCCCAAGAAGAGAATGGAGGAGAAGAGATTACGGCGTGGCCATCCCCTCTGGGGGTGATTTCTCGCTTTCTGTCTCTCTGTCTTTCTCTGTCTTTCTGGTGAGTGCATGCACCCTATAGCAAAAAAAATAAGTATGGACCCATGAAAGGGGAAGAAGCTTGGGCAGTCCTTATAGTGGTGGTTATGGATCTGGTGATGGAAGTGGTGGGTATGGTAGCTGGAGGTTCTAAAAACAGCAGAAAAGGCCGACAGTTCTTAGCAGGAGAGAAAGTGAGGAGTTGTCAGGAAAGCTGCAGATCACTTTGAGACAGTTGTCCCAAATCGAGCGCCCGTGCCCTATAGCAAAAACCCCCCCAAAAAAAATAAAAAAAAAAAAAAAAAAACCATAATAGACAAAAATATAGCTAAATACAAAATATGTTCTCACATTAAATTGTCTAAATAATGTTTGATGGCTGAAGTAAAAATTAAGATAATTTCTCTTTCTCAGAATTTTGGGCATTCATAAACACATGCCACCAGGTCCAGTACTTAAAGCACGGTCAGCTACGTGGTGGTCCAGCACCTTAACCGTCACACTGCCTGGAAGCCCCAAGATTCCTTCCTTTTGAATCTTTAGAAATAGTTTGAGAAGGGGCAGGGAGGTGGCATGATGCTGAAGTAAAAATTAAGATAATTTCTCTTTCTCAGAATTTTGGGCATTCATAAACACATGCCACCAG